GGCGTGTCCAGGCCAGCTGCAAATTCAGAGAAGGTGCAGGTCCCTGGGACTCCTCCTCTTGGCCCAATGCGTCAGGCTTCTTATAACGGTACGGTTGGTCATCAAAACCACAATCGAAATAGCGCTATGGAACAGGACGCTATTGAAACTCTGCTTTTCATGTCTAGTCCTGGACATTCGGGCTATCACTCAAGCTCCCAGCATTCCCAACGTCAACGAAATATATTTCAGAGCAGCCACGATTCCAGAAGCTCGGCCTCTCGAGTGCCCCATAGTCAAGACTCTCAAGTCAGTAATCCCCGTGGTCGGCCTATGCCAGTTTCAAACGATCAAGGGATTGGTCTAGAATCGCACGCTGGAGACGAGATCGACCGGATTCTGGATCAAATGGACAGTGACAGCGATGACGAAGTCAAGTTTGCTTCGACCCAGTCCAGCTTCACGGACCATGGCTCTAAGCAAGCTGACAGCTCTCAAGAGCATAACCGACGAGGTGGATGAGAGGCATTCGGACACAGCCCTTGGTGTTCAGCCTGCCTGCCTTTCTAAGCTCACATGTACGGCTCAAAATGGCAGTCATCAACAGGACAGGGGCAACACTTGCCCTGGTTTGCATATACTCTTTGGTACCCCAACCTGAAGAATCGCTATTGGAGTCGCACTTAAATTGGGTCAAATATCTGGTTCAGGCCAGCCCTAGATTACTCTTACAATTGCGATTACTATATCCTCAGACGAAAGGAACGGTCGTGGCGTTCTCAACATCATGTTTCCATGGTCCACTAATGCCACTATCTGCTCAAACAGGTCATTATTCGGTCATACTTGGAGAATCTTCCACCATTGTGCTCCTTAGCTCCTATAAGGGGCTTCGCTACGTAGAGCATCCCGCGCGCATTGGTCCCATTGCTGGTACAGGTTTCCTCCGGCTTGCGTGCAAACAACTTGCGCTCTTCCAAGCTACAATCTTTCGTCACGCCAAAGAAATGAATGAAGCAACACCTTCCGCATCTCAATCATCTCCTTTCGAGGCTGGCATCTATCTTCCTGGGGGTCATAACACAGACCCGCCTCTGACAACCGACACGGTCGGTTACCGATTGAATCACTTTATGCTCCGCATCCGAGATCCTCAGCGCACTCTGCATTTCTACGTCCATCTCATGGGCATGCGCACCATTTTCACCATGAACGCCGGCCCTTTCACCATGTACTACCTTGGCTATCCCCCCACTCCCAGCGACCGCGCCGACCTTTCTGCCTGGGCCTTCCGAGTCGCCAACGTCCGTGAACTCACCCAGACCATCGGGCTGCTGGAGTTTTACCATATTCATGGGACTGAGAAGGATAAAGAGTTTAGAGTGTCTACAGGGAATTTGCCTCCTAACCTGGGATTTGGCCATCTAGGCTTCACTGTCCCGGATGTTCCTGCGGCTGTCGAGCGACTGAGGGGGGAAGGTGTACACGTGCTGAAAGAGGTTGGGGATAGTTCCAGGGGCAGTGTTCCTCTCAGTGCTTGGGAAGAGCATCGCGGCTTGGGGACGGGGGATGTACATCCAAAGTTCAAGGAGATTTACGATCAGATTGCGTGTGTGGCTGATCCGGTGGGCTGACCTGACTCTATCAATCACAGTACCTAATTCATTGACGGTTGCTTAGGATGGATACATGGTTGAACTTGTTCCACAGAACATGCAGGATCAATGGGCCCGGTCTCGTTGATTTCATTGGGAAGTGAATCATGTGACTTGGAATATGTGGGTTATAGCAACCGCTCAGAGTGATTATCTACACTTACCCCTTGGGGTCAATGATAACTGTCAACCCTGAAAGCCAAAGCCACAAATTCCATTCCACAACCAGTACAAACTCCGCGGGACTTTCTACCCGGTTCCCTTTTCAAGGGTAATACTCTAGTAGCACGTCTCCCCACACTTCCATTGTAATAGTCTTTTTGTATGTGAATTGAATACAGTAGGAGCGTCCACTGGTCGAGCAATCAATCCCTCCCAAGCAGCTCACAGAATGGCCCCTAAAAACTACCAGTACCACTACTATCACTACTATCACTACCAAAGCTAGTTGCTGTCTTCACTCAGCTAGGCCTAAACAAGCCTCACACGCGTCCTTCCCTATCCATCCGTCTCTCAGCTAAGTCAAGCCCGCCAACAGCTACGCATCGGGCCTTCCGTCCTATTCCCCGCATATTTCCTGTAGAGTTCTTTCCGTATTGGGTCTAGCAAATATTTGTTATATTAGGAGAGGAGTAGTACAAGGGCTATTTAGAAAAATTGATAAACAAATAGATAAATGGTGCTAGGGTTCTCTTGCGAGTGTATAGGGTGTACTAAGTATTCTGTCTCTCTTTTTTCCCCCATCTTTCTTGGATGTTTCTTTTATAGAGAGCAGATTTATTGTTCAAGATGCGAGTTATTTGATAGTAATGTCAGACACAAACTTCATGCAGCAATTCAATTTGTGGTCCTACTTGGGTGTTTTCGGGCTTGGGTGTACATTCTCGTAGCTAAGTATATAGCATTCCACCATAGGTTACGGAATGACATCTAGGTATGTCCTTCCGTCCCTCTATTTCTCCCTTTCTTGGGTATAGTGAGAAGGAATCGTTGTGAATGATGAGATGGATGGAAAACAAAATAGTATATAAGTCAGGTATTACCATCTCAAGGATGTAGTCTTCAGTCTTGCAGATAGGTCATACAAATTGATTGGCCTCCAGCTCGTCTCAGTACCTACTAGTAGTACCTAGTAATCACCATGGTTATCCTTGCCCGAGTCTCGCTACTTCTTGTCCCGTTACTGGGGACTTTGTCTCATGCAATTCAGGTACGGAGTCCCAATTCAACCCCTCTCATCATAGTACCATGGATGTATATACATAGTAGAGAGAATGGGGGAGGGAGGCAAAAAGCGGAGAAGCACGTACACTAACACCACCCCATCCTCCGACAGGCCGAAGACTATCCCTCAACCTGCGTCGATGCCTGCGACGGCATAGAGCCGGATCCGACCGACACGAGTTATTACTGCGACTACTGCATCTGCAAGAACAAATTGCTAGGATGGGCCAATTTCCAACCGACCGACAACTTCACCGACATGTTTACCGACTGGGTTCCACTGGGCGACCTCTGTCCGAAAGATTGGCTCTGTACCTGGGCGAACTGGACCGACAATGGATTCAACCCCACTTATAGCAAACTTGTCTATCCACCCAACAATGGCTTCAATGGCTGTCCCAAGAATGTGAGTCTAGGGGTTGGCACCTTGGTGGACCGCTTTGGTACGCAAAATGGCAGTTATCTCGCCCCGGCGGACACTCCGTACGGACAGCGATCCATCGGGCCAAGTAGTCTGAACAAGTACAATGGTAGTACCATGTACAACTACTGGAGATTCAATGTGACTGAGGAGTTTGTGGCTTTGGGTGGGGAGATCCTGCCGTGGTATGGCCAGCCTGGAGGTGGCTGGCAGTGGTATGCGAATGTAACCCAGTTGCAAATTGACGGCAAGCTTAAGTTGGTCGGAGCCACGACTTTTGGGGTTAATGAAGCTTGGGAGGCTGCTGGGCCGATGGAGAGAGTCTATGGTCTTCAGGATTATTAGGTGGTAGCTGAAGTGTAGTGCTGGCGATGGGAATTGTGCATTGCACGGACCCTGTTCCTCGGGCAGCGGAGGTAGGGGGTGCTTGAGAACTGGGGTGTATGCCGTTACTAGTAAAGACAATACAACTTTCTATATATTCAATAAGTAGCTGGAGTATCCTTGCAGGCTTCATTATATTTGGATGTCGTAATGTGGAATGAAAGACTGAGATGAGAGTCGAGCCTCATGACTGCCACCACGGCTTTCCTTGGTGTTCACTGGGATATATCGGTGGTGACCAGTCTTAGGGGTCCGAGTAACAAGTTCACAATTAGGCATTGAAAGAGGGAGAAGCTGTTGAAAGAGGGAAAGCGATATGGAGATGAAATATAACGGAAAGAGCAAGATGAAAAACAAAATAGGCAGGAAATAAACGAGCAAGGTCACGGGATTTTGGCATGTCTGAACTAGATCCCTGGTGGGATACTACAGCAGCAGCATCGGTCTTGAAAAGACCCCATCCACAGCAAGGTCCAAGGTACTGCCAAAAGATATGGTAGTCTGGCCACAACAACCTTGCAATAGCTTCAGAATAAAGACTTAAGCATTAAGCAGGCGTAACGAGCCTCAGGTGTTCAATGAAACATTAACTATATTAGTTGTGGATTGAATCCTCAGGCTCTCATGGCCTGATGCTAACAGCGTAATTCCCTTCGACAGCCAAACAATCACTCCATATCTTGAAGGATCAACAGTCTCCTCCCTCCACCCAATAGAGGATCAAAAAGCTCCGCGGGGATCGGCATTTAGATACCGAACCCTGCCTTACTCCATGCCATATACCCGGGCTTACCGATGCCGATACCCTTCTCGAATTGGCAGATGACTTGAAGCATTCCTGCGATCTACTTTGGCTCTTACTCGTACGAGTAAGTAGTTGCAGTCTAAAACATATTTCATCGTGGAGTTCGGGTGAACATGGCTAGCAGATCATTGCAGTCAAACATGCCTTTTTCCTGTCTCATAAACCAGCTCCCACTTCTTCACAGTTTCCTTGTAGATTGGGGTTTCTCTTTGCCTAGGTAAGTAACTGCTGCGTACATACTAAAGGAATTGGAATGAGATACGTCAGGTGAGTAGTAGCTATTTACCAAGTATAGTAGATGCTGACTGGTGATATGCATACCGAGAATGGCGTTGGTATGGGTAATTAGCATAAAAATACAATGACTGACTGCATTCCTTGTGTACTCAGTAGGAGTTGATCATCATGGTGAAATCATCTTTCAAAAAGCATATAAAGGCGTAGAAGATCAGGATCTATCGTTCCTGTTCATCAACTTCAAGTCCACACGCTTATTTTACTTCGGATTAATCGATCCCATTCAACAACGACCATGGTCCTCCTTTCCCGCGCACTGCTCGCTCTCCCATTGCTGGGCTCACTAGCCCTTGCAGATGTGGTAAGTCAAGTCGACGCAAAAAAGTTTTCAAGTAACCCATACTAACCCACCTAGACACAGGAAAGTGCCATCCCAGAGACATGCGGCCAGAACTTCTGCGATGGCATACAGCCGAAGGAAGGAGATCCCGTACAGGGAAAGTTCTTCTGTAGAGACTGTCTCTGCCAAAACAAATGGCTGGGTCCAACGGTCATCGATACGTCCGGCAACTGGACCAACATCTTCGAGGGATGGAAACCGTTTGGGGACCTGTGTCCTCGCGAATGGCTCAACAAGTGGGCCAAATGGAACGTGAAACCCTGGCAAGATCCACCGTATCCGGACGACGATGGCTTCAAAGCCGGCTCTCTACCAGGAGGCCCCCGCGTTGGCAGCTGCGTGGACCGCTTCGGCAGTCCTTATGGTGGGTTTCTGGCCCCTCTGGGCACTAAGTACAGCGCACGGGCTATCCCGCCGAAGAACCTGAATAAGTATTCGAATAGCCCGCAGTTCAATTACTACGTTTATCAGGTGGCGAAGCCGTTTATTGCCCAGCAAGGGGAAATTGCTCCGTGGTTCGATCAACCTGGGGGTGGCATCCAGTGGTATGTGGCTAATGGCCTGGAGTTCTTGGTAGATCATGGCGTTCTGGTACGCGTCAATGTCGAGGCTTGTCATGAGGATGGCGTTGCGGAGTGGGATGAGGGAGCAAATGCTCCTAGCTTGGAGGCATGGGAGAGTCTGGAGCCGGCGCAGGGGGATCCAATGTTCTATCATTGAGCGAGGCGTAGGCGTTTGAGGGCTGCTGCTGGATGATGAAATTGCATCATCTGGCAAATCCTCTGAAGGACTTGCCTCGAAGAAGAGGTATATATGCCATGGTACGGAGATAAGGGAGGAACCAATAACGGATGGACGAGGATTTTTTTCTTTTCTTCTTTTCTTATGCTCATCGGAATAGTAGTTAGAAGTAGTTGCAATAATCATAATACAATATTCTCATGATGGTCGTACTTGGTCCTAAGTCATATAGGATGGTGGTTACATCGAATATATTACCATCAGACCACGTGAACAGTACTTATAGCATCATCACCCATGAGTTGCATCTGCAGAGTCACATAACTATCGTACAAGCCTAAAGGCCAGAGAAAATCGAGCCAGGTACATACATACATATACATATACATACCCAGCATAGTCTATCACATCAAAGCAAATAGGGATCAAAGAAGAAGACACTGACGACTACTTTATGCAACGAGACAAGAAAAGAACCATTTTCCCTTCCCCAGAAGACGCCAGGAATATGAAAAACAAGTGCAGACATATCTATCTATCAATCCATCCATCAGTCCATCCCATCATGAGCATGATTTACACTCGAAAGCAGGTAGGTAGAATCTACTCTACTCCACTCCCCAACTGTCATCCACCTCCGCCACATCGTAGTCCACATCGTGCGGGCCGTCCTTGCGTGCTCCGCTCTGTTCCGGTAGCATGGATGGCCCCGTTGCGTTGTCCATTACCGTGTCCTCATCTGACCCTGTCTTATTGGTATCCGAGCCAGGGCCGGATGTTGTGCCGCTGGCTGGGAGGGTGATAGGGGGGTTAGGGACCCAAGTGAGCTGGACTTGGCCTACCGAGGGGATGTCTCGTGTTCCAAACATGAACTTCTCGGCTAGGTAGCGTTCCTTGAAGGCTACGATGACTGAGTCGGGTTGGTCTGGGTTGGGCTCGATGGATTCGTATTCGCCGACGCCCTGGTATATTGTGTTAGCTTTGAATGTGTAAAATACGGTAAGACTGGAGGCAGAAAACTTACAATGAGGTATTGTCTTAAGGCCTCGTCCTTCTCAGAGTTGGCCTCCACACCGGAGACAGCTACCCTACGGGGTCGGTTGTCGAGACGTAGAACACCACCTCTGCCGCGAGCAGCGCCGCCACGACCACGATATCCACCGCGGAAGGACGGGTCGTAACCACGGCCCCGGGGCGGAAATCCACCACGAGCACCGAATCCTCTTCCGCGACCGCGGTAGGAGTACGGTGCGCCCGCACCAGCACCGTTGGGGTCGATACCAAGACTCTTCGCTTCGGCTTCAAGAGCGGCCAGCTGTGCACGAAGCTGCTGGGTCTGGTCACTAGCATTCTCCTGTGACACACCCGCTTCGTCGGCCGGAGAGGCGCTGCCATCACCGCCTTCTTTTCCGCCAAGCTTTTGCATCAGACGAAGCTTCTCTTCCTGCTGCTTCTTAAGGAGCTCGTCGCGCTGTCGCTCGAGGGCTTGTTTTGCTTCCTCGGTCTCCTTGCGCTTCTTTAACTTCTCCTCGTGCGCCCGCTGGGCTTCCTCTTGCTGTCTCTCAAACTCTTCGCGGTTGAAAGCTGGTCCCTCGTTCATGGCGTCGCCGGCAGGAGACCGATGGTCACCATTGCGATCACCCTTGGGCTTATGCCAGTAGACTTTGACGAATCGGTTATCAAAGATCACCTTGGGACTAGACCATGCCCGTTTAGCAGCTGCGTGGTTATCGTAGGTAATCAAGGCCAGTCGCCGGTGTGGTTGTAGAGTGACCTCAGTGATCTCGCCATATTGTGAAAAGAACTCTCGGATCGTGGCTTCGTCCATCTTATCATCAGGAATCTGCTCAACAACAATGGTCGTGATCGTCGTATCCTCGTTAGGCCCAGCAGAAGAGAATTCAGAGCGTCGTCCCCTGCCTCCAAAGCCACCCCGGTCCCCACCACGACCGCGGCCGCGACCTCTGTCGCTGCCTCGCATAGGTGTATCCGTGCGCCTTTGGAAGTCGGTGATGAGGTTGGAGGATTTTGGATCATATTCTAAAAAAACCCCCATCATTAGCAGAGTTCGTTCAGCAGCCAACGCAATCAATCCGCCCACTCACCATCTTCCTTGGAAGACCCTGGCATGGCATCGTGCTGGTACGGGCATGTAGCGCCAAGGTAGCAGATACCCTGAGTCTCATAGAACGGACACCGCTCCGAACTCTTGGGTCCCATCTTGTCCGGCTGCTGGCCGGCCCCGGCGCCCGGGGGTGGTATCGGCATCGGAGGCATGCCCGGCATTTGAGGGAAACCCATGCTCTGAAGAGCCATCATCGCTGCCATCGGATCATTCTGGTCAAAGCCGGGGAACGCAGGAGGCATCACTGGGAATCCCGCTGCACCAGGATGGAACTGTCCCGGACCAGCCGGTCCTGCGCGGCCGCCGTCCCTACCCATCCAATCTCCCCGGCCACCGCCACGCCCCCGGCGAGGGGTCTTGTATGTGCGATGGTGGGGTCCATCGTCGCGCTCCTGATCGGCCTGGAATCCCTCGTGGTAGTTACGCTTGCGATTGAAATTGGAGCCATCAGCTTGCGACTGTGGAATGCCGTAGGGGCCATTTGCTGGGCCGGAGGGAGCTCCAAAGGCCTGCTGCTGTTCCGAAGCTGATCCTGCAGCACCATCATGGGACATCGCGGCGGTTTGAACGGGCTGCGGCTTGGGCGCAAACGTTGTGAAGAGTTCATCGACAAACTGAACAGTGTCTAGATATGCAATAAAAGCCAGTGAGCCAACTGCGCTTTCTCCGCGCAAGCAAGTACCTCAACATGACTAACGTTCTCTCAAGAAGTCTTCCAGATTGTCCACCGAAGCCTTCCGGATCTCTTCGTCCGGGGCATCTGTTCGGATAAGCGCCAGGACGTAATCGGCAAGCACGTCAGAATCGGCATCCGATCTGAACCGGAGAGTTATTCGTTAGCTTGTGATACAGCGCAGGGAACGTCTTGGAGAAGCAGTCGCCGGGCAGATGAGCCTTACATATCTTCCAGTTTCCTCACTACCCACGACTTCACCTCAGTCGCTTGATCCTCGGTGAGCTGCATGTTGTCGCGCAAGGTTGAAACCGTGCCAGGCGACTGTTGCCGGAAAGGAATAGATCCTCGAGGAGCTTGAAGAGGCAGCAGGCGTTACTTGGCGGCGCCCGAAAAAAGGTTTGGGTGAGGGATCAAAAACGGCGTCGAAAATGCGGGTGATGAATATAGTGACGAAAGAAAGGTTTGCCGGTGAATTTAATCAGAGACTTGCGCAAGTCATTGTGTGATGAAGGAAAGACGTGCGAGGAGATAGCAACAGAGCTTTGCGGACCAAAAAAGCCGGGGAAACGCGAGCGACGCGGATGACAGTCTCACCACGTGACCTACGCTGGGAGAGCTGCCCGGTTGACCTACCACATCACGTCACCACCGACGCTGCTACTATTCTCCTATCTGGCCTACAAACCAACTACGAGTCTGAAGTGACGATGTACTAAAAATGAACTTGAAAACCATCATATTTTTTTCATGTCCAATCGAGGGAATAGGAAAGGAGCTATGGAAAATCCCTCGCGGTCGTTAACGTAAAAATAAAGCCATCGCAGATGCTCGTGCACAGCTCGATTCTACTTCTCTAAGCGGTCGAAAATCCACATACGACATTAAGCTGTTTTTCTTTTATATCCTCCCCCTCAATGTAGACAGGGTATTGCATTCGTCAATCTCATAAACAGAGGATTCCATCCATCACAAGTTCGAAATTTAGTCGGCTTGTAAGGAAGGTTTTTACAGCTTGTCGTAGTACTGTTCATATAAGTTAGCTTCGTGATCTCATCAGAGGAATAGAAATACGGGGTTCAACTTACGTTCTCGTAGCCGGGAACCTGCTCCTTGAGACCCTTGCGCTTACGCATCTCAGTGACGACCTGACCAGGCTTGGTGGAGGGGTCAAGAGGAGATCCACCGGGGAGGACAGCCCAGTGGTCGAAGACAGACTGGGGGAAGGCCTGTCCACCGGTGGCCTGACGAAGCTCGCCGGGGAAACCGAAGGACTCGTTGACGGGCAGGTAGGCCTTGACGTTGAAGAGAGGAGTACCAGGGCGCTGCTCCTCGGTGTAGACGTGACCACGACGGCGGGTAAGGACACCGTAGATACCACCCATGGCCTGCTCGGGGACCTGGATCTCGACGTTGAAGATGGGCTCCAGGATACCGGGGTCGGCAAGCATGGTAGCAGCATACAGGACACGACGAGCGGTGGGGATGATCTGACCACCACCACGGTGAATAGCATCAGCGTGCAGAGTAACATCAAGGATGTTGAAGCGGATAGAGCGCATGGGCTCCTCAGCGACGGGACCCTCACGGGTGGCCCACTGGAAACCAGAGACGAAAGAGTCCTTGATTTCGTTGAGGTACTGGACGGCCTTGGTCTGGTCAACCAGCAAGTTGGCACCGGTGGTGTCGGGACCGAAGCACCAAATCTTACGGGCATCGGTGACATCCCAGCCGTACTCGTCAGCAAGGAGACGGGCACGAGCCTTGAAATCATCACGGGGGGTGATCTTGCCAGCCTCAATGGCCAGGGAGACCTCCTCGTCAAGGGGCTGGGCAGTGAGGTACAGACGGTTGTGCTTGTTGGGAGACTTGGACAGAGCAGTCATGCTGGAAGTGCCAGAGACGGTCTCACGGTAGGAGACGACGGGGTCGGAGATACGAAGGGGAACACCAGCGTGGTCCTCCTCGAGATCCTTCAGGCAAATTTCGAGGTGAAGCTCACCAGCACCAGCAACGACGTGCTCACCAGACTCGTTGATCATGGTCAGGACACAAGGGTCAGACTTGGACAGACGCTTAAGACCTTCGACCAGCTTGGGCAGATCCTGAGCGTTCTTGACCTCAACGGAACGCTGGACGACGGGGGAGACGGAGAACTTCATGACCTTCATGTTGTGGGCAGTCTCGGAGGTGGTGAGGGTACCAGACTTGAGCAGGAACTGGTCAACACCGACCAGACCGACGATGTTACCGGCGGGAACATCCTCAATGGGCTCGACGAAACGACCCATCATAAGGATGGTACGCTGGATGTTCTTGACGAACAGGTCCTCCTTCTTGCCAGGGACGTAGTTGGGACCCTGGATACGGACCTTAAGACCGGAGCGGACGGTACCGGAGTAGACACGACCGAAAGCGTAGAAACGACCCTTGTCGGAGGTGGGAACCATCTTGGAGACGTAAAGCATCAGAGGAGCCTTGGGGTCACAGTCGCGGATACCGACGGCGCAGTCGTCGTCGGAGGGACCCTCGTAGAGAGTCTCACCACGGTACTTCTGGGCAGTAACGGGGGAGGGAAGGTGGATACAGATCATCTCCAACATGGCATCAGCGGCGGGGAGGAACTTGCGCATGACAGCCTTGAGGAGCTGCTTGCCAGCAAGGTCCTTCTCGTCGTTGGAAAGCTTGACCTCAAGCTTCTCGAGGAGCTTGGGGATCTCGTCCTTCTTGTCGTTGTTGATGGTCTGGAAGATCTTGAAGATGGGGTCCAGAACGAACATGTTGAAGGCACGCTCAACGGGCTTGCCGTTGACCTCAGGCTGGGTCTTGGTCCACTTCTTGGTGGAGGGGTTGAAGTAGTTGTCACCCTGTTTTGATTGTTAGCGAAATTCATACACTGACGAGATGATGGGTTGCTCCATACCCAGAGACGCTCAAGCATCTTCTTGCGGTCAACACCGAACTTCTTGGCGAACTTGACGGCGAACTGGCGGACGGTGAAAGCCCAGCCGTGGAGACCGGAACCGAAGGCAACGGTACCCTTCTCGGCGTAGACCTGGACATCACCAAGAGCCTTGTCGAAGTAGGTGGCGATGATGACGTTGACGGACTCGATGGTACGAGAGAAGGACTGGTACAGGTCCTCCTTGGAGACCTGGAGCTCGAGCAGAGCACGGTCGACCTTGTTGATGATCAGGACGGGCTTGATACGCTCAGTCAGGGCCTGACGAAGGACAGTCTCGGTCTGGACACAGACACCGGAGACACAGTCGACGACGACCAGGGCACCGTCAGTGACACGCAGAGCAGCAGTGACCTCAGAGGAGAAGTCAACGTGACCGGGGGAATCGATCAGGTTGATCAGGAACTCAGAGCCATCGACCTTCTGGGGGATCTCCTTGAGATCCTCCTCATCGGGGAACTTGGCGTAGAGGGAGATGGCAGTGGACTTGATGGTGATACCACGGTCCTGCTCATCGGGACGGGTGTCCATGTAACGACCCTCACCAGCCTTAGCAGCCGAGATAATACCGGCACGCTGGACCAGGGAGTCGGAAAGGGTGGACTTTCCGTGATCGACTATGGTTGCTGGTCAGCGAGGTTCATTCGAAAGATACATGGCCATCCATGATGCCAAGACCTGGATCAAGCACATACCGTGAGCAATGACGGACATGTTACGGATGTTGGCCGGGCGGTCCATCAGGCCGCGGATCTATTCCCAGCATTAGTACACTTCCATCCTCGTTGATTGATTGCTTTTCCCAAATCTGGGCCGGGGTTGCCCTCTCAGATGTCGAAAAGCAGCCCGATGCAGGTGGGTGCGGGGAACATAGAACGGACCTCTTCGATAGTGAAGCTATAGATAACATCGTTAGCACGTTATTCCAAGTTTCCAAGATATGATGCAGATCCGTCAACCCATCTAATGCGATAGTATAGCATCGCTATAGAGATTGACAGGGAGTGTGTGGGTGAACGTACTTGACCATCTTGACTGATTTTTCTCGTCAACTGCCGTAGAGGCGGGGTTTCGTAAAAAAAGAAAATAAAAAGGAAGAACGACACACAAAGGACCAAGATCGAGAGCTAGCTCGACCGAGGGATCAAATAGGACAAGAAAGGCCTATGTGCGCTGCTCCGGGGAAAGAGACAGAGATGGCTTCGCGGAGGAAGGTGAAGGAAGGAAAAAGAGAGAAGAGGGAAGGGAAGAGGGCGGATGGAGAGGAAGAGGGGAAAAGAGGGAAGGAAAGCGAGAGGGCGGCGGGTGGGGACACTTTTTTTTGTGCTGGTGGGATTTTTTCCGATTTCAAATCTGGGATGTGCGTTTTTTCTTGTCGGGCCCCTCGTTTCCTTACCGTTTCACTGCTTAGCGTCGGTTACTTTTCTTTACCCTCCAGTATCTAGTATCTTTTCTTTTCTCTTTTTCAGTGCCCACCAGTCCTGCTTATCGTAATAGTTATGAATCAAGGGAAATACGTACTGGGTAATAATAATGGTAGATTGTGGATGAGTATCCGTAATGACGGCTGAACTACTATACTGCACAACTACTAGTATTAGGACTCATCATCAATACCTACCTCGTTCGATTTCCTCTCTGGGTGCCCGCACTTCCCAGCAGCACAGACTGACTGGAACTAAGGTAATGGGAGTTGACCATGGTTTATGGGCAAATTACACCTTCCTCTGGAGAGGTCATCCAATAACCAGTTACTATAAGCTTACAGAGCTCATAGCTCCTCTCTCTCCCGTACACGAGCTCTTCCGGTATCTTTAGCCACCTTACTTGTAAACCTCCAGCCTCCCTCTCAACGGTGATCCCGTGTTCAGGTGGGTGGGTGGCAAAGAGTGCTGAAGTGTGCTGATATCATGATCCGTTGTACCAGAGAAGTTCTTTCCCGCCATCCTGAGTGGGTAATTAAGGTATGGAGCTTACCCAATTGCGGCCTAGTTCCACTGGCCAACATCTTCATGTTCATCATCTTGGTCAGCTTCTTTCGAAGAAAATATTGTTGGAAGTATTTGAGGGAAATAGATAGGATGGGAATAAAACAAAGTCAATAATGGCAGTCACATTTTAGTATTATATGTCTAGCTTGTAATGAAATTTCTATCAGTCTCTACACTGTAGTTGCTTGCTGCAGGCTGGTATCGACCCCTCCTTCCTCACCGCCCGGCTGGTCACGGGATGGGGGGAAGCGGAGTTAGGAATTAATGCATTACCGGACGTTACAACAACGTGGTTCGACCAATTTGACAGCGGCAGGCCAATCGCCCGCCCGACTTCTCCTGCACACCTGCAACTGCGGTCCGACGTGCCCTTTTGCAGTACACATATGACTAGTCTAGGCTCTTTGGCTTTATCAGTCTCTTATAAGGCCAGATGTTGTGATAAAGTAATATCTGGAGCTCGTATTGAAGTGATCATAGTAGTAGGTTTGGTCACGTGGCTGGATCACCAACCACCTGTGAGGATCTGACCTTGGCTCATTGCTTTACCGACTGGATGTATTCAAACTCTGTAGGATTTTGTTCAAACCTTTCAAGATGTGCGTTTGTACAGCCGTGATTTAGAAGACGCAGAATACACAGACTCTCGAAACAGATTGTACTCTTCTATGTGTTGTCGTCTTCAACGTATTTCAAAAGTGTCCACACTCATATGAGACTCAAGTCCATACTGTTTGGCAATTGTTGTGAAGCGAGGCTCTGCATGACAGATGATAGGGGCCTCACCTACAAAATTGATTTCGTTTATATCACTTCAATCCAGACTGACGGATTATTTTATTCGAGCTCCACTCCATGTATATTTCTAAGTTGACTTGAATCAGCATAATTTCTTTTATAGCCTGTGGATAATACCAAGAACAGGCTAAGATCCATAAACTATTGCCTGTGAAAAGATACATACTTATATTCATCCTGATACTATCTTATATCATATCATTGGCCCTGTTCTGCTAGCTAAAAGCTCATTGTAACAGCTGCAGTATCTCTTATCTGAATTTAATGATAAGCTGTCCCTGTCTCATGACTTAAGAATAATTCTGTAGCTTATATCTTTCACTCTTCCATGGTTGACCGAATCGTACTATACATTTTAGATCTCTATCTTTCCGAAACACAAGGGGCTTCTTTTCCCAGCTCTAATAGTTATTCATAGGACAGTTTAACTTTCTGCTGCGACGTTTCGGTAAAATATCAGCAGCGAATGCCATCTTATTGGCAGATATCGAATTACTGAGTGTCGTTGGACTTATGGCTACGATTGCCAAAGACATACTCGAACGCGCCGTCGATATAGCGCGGCGCTCTGGATATGCCCCGAGAGAATTAGACTTCTGACTCCTCAGTGTCGACATTCTGTAGCCATGCTTGCCAAGCTTGCAGTACTACTGTGCTGCGACGGGTATTGTTTTGGATAAACTGCTCGATGCGAGGAATGAAGCATTGCTCTACTGGGATAGTGTAAGCGTCCTTGAACACCTTCATAGAGGAGACTTGGCAGATACAATGAAGGATGGCATCCATTTGCCCTGTCAGAATTACATTCCGGCATGACCATCGCATCCCAAGCTCCAGAGATGGGATTTTCCATGCCGTAGAAGTCTGCAGTAGTATCACCGCCAATTACGTCTTACCATTCTTGCGTTGCGTCCTTAAAGACTTCATTCAGTAATGCCTGGCTGTCTGTGGCGCCTGATTGGCAACGTTGTAATGCGGCCGAGTCTTTCAAAGTTGCCCTAGAAATGGGATGCGAATTGACTTATTCTGATCTCGCATCGGCACGGGGATAAGCGACGATAGCAGGCTGCAGAACGTTCGTAGAGAGCTTCAGTTGATAAACGAGCCAGGTAGGCTTTACGCTTGGCAGGAGCAGTTTAAATATCGAAGTATTTTTTCTTTTAGAAAGGATAGAAAGGAAAATTAGGAGACGCCATCGCAAGAGAAAAGGTCTTCCATTAAGAGCAGTTTGAACATGTTTCAATGAGGTCCCTACTGGATTAATTTTGGGAGTGGAAAACAGCCTTCTTCTATTCCAAGATCAATAATTCAGAAAACTGTTAGCTTTTGGGCACGCATTGACCATGAGGTTAGGTAAAGACCGAGGGAGGCTATTAGGTAGTATTGCATGATCGGCGCAAAAATCGATCTTTCAGCGATAGACATAATTCTCATCAATCATTGAGCCATGTGCATGGAGTGTTGGTTATAGGTGACAGCTCAAGCTTATACATATCGCCAAATTCGTTGCTTTCGTGCCACGTAAATCTACTGCTGTATGCCGTTTCATCGATGGCGGTAATAAATCCTGTGCGGACATACCAAGATGTCTACGAGGCTGACATGATCAATGGAGTGCTTTTTACAGCAACATCATCGGAAAACTTTTCCCTACTGAGAGTAGACGAGGGAATGAGTGACGTCGGGAACGCAACATGACCACAAGCTATACCCTAGTCCGCACTATCCAACGAGCGCTGTAGCTGTCTACCAGAGCGCTAAATTCAATAACCGACAGAGTGATCTTCATGATACCCCGCCGTACACATCTTCTCCAGAATTTTTTCATAGCCGCCTGTCTTCCTCCAGAGTCATCTCTCCTAGGATATGGAGTCTGTGACTTTCAAAGGTTCCGAAATTGACAGAGTGGCTTCCACCCATTCTGACGATAAAACTCCAGCAACCTCTCTGGTGGCACAACTTTGCGAACGTAACTATTATGTTCGATTAAGGCTTGCTTGATCTTGTCTCCTTTGTCCTCGTTGTATAAATACAACCACGGGGCTCTATCAAATCCATAGAGCTCTGCCGCCATCCTGTCCGTATACCAAAGTATCATCCACGAAGGCCGATCGAAAAAGCGAATGACCGTGGCTACCATGGACTAGTGCCACCCATCCACGTCGCGAGTATTCAGGATGACATGGGTTTCTGGATATGTGGCCATTGCTTTTTCGGTGTAGAGACAGCAGGGAGTATGCAAGATTGCCTGATCCAGGCCATGAGTCATGTCAGCAAATGGGTAAAACTACCAGTGTTTCAATGGAGGTATCAAAGCGACCTACGTCAAAGTCACTTGTCAACTGATTGAACTGCTCGAGGCCAAAGCGATGCCCTTCGCCATTGAACTTCCACTGTAACGCATTTGTCCACATCGGCAAATGTCCCAATTCCAAGCGGTCTAGGATATCCTGAGGTTGAAATCCGAGTTGGCATAGCGCGGCGTTAAGTGCTACATCCATGTTGAGTGACACTTTCATCTTGCTGCGATGGTACTATGGAGTTCTTACACTTTGTTCCAATGCGCCCTAACCGCAACGCTAATAGTTTCATTGGTCGTTGATGTCCCGACTTCCTCGTGGTATTCGGACACTCAGAGAGATAGGAATGATGAGGGAAATACTTCTTGCATCATGCATTGATTCCCATTCGAGAACAGATGTCGTTCACGAATGAATTATGTAGTTCTTTGGGCACGCATCATCACCCACTTCACTTCCACCACCCAATCGTGGGCGTTCATTGAGTATGGCATCCACTAAGACTTTAAAATTCATGTATGCTTCTGACTGATGATAGTGTCACATGTCTCGAATTTTCTTCTCTTTTTTTGCTGCATGATCATGTAGATCAAATATCACCCAGCGAAATGGTGTGCTGATATCTGAAAATTGCAATGATAAGCAAGGAGCTATCACTGGCGTGCGCTGAAGTGGTAGATTCGACGTATAACATACAGTAGCTAGAAGGAGGGGTAATGCGATGCCTAGAGAGGCATCTGCATATGGAGATCACTTTGCTACATACTTACTATACAGTAGTCTCTTGCTGGCATGTCAGTAGCCACGGTGTAGTCGTAGCCTTTCTCTAAAACCCCCTGTTGGCCCCGAAAGAAATAAACTATCAACACCTTTTCTACGGTCGGAGGTATCACCAGAACAATTTTACCTTGCCTATCATAATTGGCAAATATCTCTTCAGACGTTCACTGCAATGGAGCCAGCTATTATACGACTGGCGCAGACGTACGTCGGCCATGTTCGCCGGGTTGGCGTGTCCTTTTGCACACTTTACATGGCGCTACGGCTATCATGTCTGATATGTGCACCTGAGACCAATTACTGGATGTGGGTGGTATTGATATTCGAAGCCCTGTGGACTTGTATGTTCTCAACCCTATCGAATCTTGGTTTCAAGAATAGTGCTTTATCTAACAGTGGTCGTCCATCTTGCCTTGACTATCTATAGACAAGTCCCTGAGCATGGAATTGCCTAGACGAACAGGGGAAACGTCAAAACAACTTCATCTAACTAAGAACCATGCATTGCCTTCGGTAGATATTATGCTGCCATGCTGCGGTGAACCAATCGAGATTATCCTCGATACCATACGTGCAGCGTGTGTCATTGACTACCCCCAAACTGCATTCCGGGTCCTCATCTTAGATGATGGAAATTCTCCGGAAGTACGACAGGCGGTAGAAGAGTTGCAACATACCTGGCCAAACCTCCTCTACTACAGCAGAGGAACTAAACCAAGCCAGAAAGTTTTTGCAAAAGCAGGCAACCTGAACTTTGGCTTGTTTGATGTGCAGGGAGGAATGGTCAAGCCGCCTGAGTTTATTGCCATATTCGATTCAGACTTTCTGCCTGCTCCCAACTTTCTGCGAGCCACGCTTCCTCATATGTTGGGGGGTGATAATGTTGGAATTGTAAGTTCAAGGCAAGACTACTATAACCTCCCCCCAGGAGACCCGCTTGATTAAAGCCTGGTAATGCTTTTCGAGGTGATTTTGCCCAAGATGGACGAAATGGGATCAAGTCTAGCAACAACTTCGGGATGTCTTATGCGCCGCGATTTAGCCGTCCAAGTGGGCGGATTTCCAACGCTAAATGAAGTGGAGGACATGACTCTATCGTTCATTTTGCCAGCGTACGGGAAGCGCGTCGTATATCTCACTGAAATGCTGCAACTGGGACGCGTGCCGTCCTCGTTGGAAGGTCATGTCCGGCAGAGCCGACGATGGCTCACTGGCTTGACAGAGATGATCGCTACTCCCTGGGCACCATCCGCGGAGTCTATCCCCACTTCATTGAGATACTCTATGGCATACTTTGGTATTTATTGGGTTTTGTCACCTCTAGGCCAGAGTATCGGTTGTGCGATAATCGCTCCTGCGTTAATATCACGTCAAGCGCTGGTGCCACACCATCTACTCCAGGTCCAAATCCCATTATCCCTGGTATCCTTTGGACTCATTTTCCTATACGAATGGCTCAAGGCGGCAGCAATGGGGTTCCGCTTGTCCGCATTTTCTTGTTTTAGTGACCTGTGGCTATGTGCAGGTAGGTCTTGCCGTCTCATTCAACCCTGATAGATACAACGTATAACTGACAAAACACCGCCAAAAGACCGAATTTGTACTCTCATACAATTCCATATATTCGGTTCACAGGGGGGTAGGTCTCTAGTGACTGGCAGTGCCCAGAACATTTGGAACAATCCCAACAAGGTCCCCACGCGAATGAGACAGTTGAAAAGGGACTTATGGGATGCTAGAGTTGGCTTCAACGTCCTATTTGTGTTTGGAGCCCTCGCCGGAATCTTCCATTCGGTAATGGGAGTCATCGAGAGATATCATCATCATCATCATCATCATCATCCCGACTGGCAGCTTCATCTTATGACTACCTTGCTATACCCTCCTGTTGTTCTCATGGGCTACATAATTCTTACCTGTCACCTGGTCCCACTGTCATGTGTGATATGGCGGCCTCAATATCCTTCCCGGAAAGCAGTCTTCGAAACTCATCCGAGTGACCCCCGTGCCGTGTTTCCTTCTGAGGCAGTTCGACAATCCAGAGTGCGTCAGAGGCGTGCGCCTCTAGGTTATCGTCGACATTTACTATTGATTCCGGTTTATGTCACTTTCATGGGCATATTTTATTTTAGGTATCTGTGAAATTTGTGGAGACATTGCGGTTGATGTTACATGTGATTGCGCCGCAATTTACTTGCTATTTTACCTTCACTCCGGTCATTGGAAGGGGCCCTATTTTGGGGCTCTCCATTGGATGATACTATTCAGGCATGAATGTCAACTATTGTTGTTTATGTGCTGTGAGACTTGTGTGTATATAACCCAGTTGGCTATTGATAGTTGGTGCTGGTCAACTCATAGTTTAATATGCAGAAGAAACTTCCGTCGTCGCCGGCCTGTGACTAGGGCACGTCCTGATTGGGAAACGTCTTATAGTAAGACTACCCCTGGCCCCAATCGTATTATAAAGGTACCTTCTTTTATCTTAATTCCTTCAAATTGAATTTAGGAGTACTTTATATATTACTTTAGTAGCAACAATGGGTCATTTATTATTCGTAGAACTTATATACAGAGCGGCGTGAAATCAGGAAGATCCTAAAATCTTCGCGTACGCATCCTCCACCTCTTTGGCAATCTCCAGAAGCGTGACGATGACAATTTGATGAGTAATGTTAGGCAGCTTATCCCGTTGAAGGCCAATCCATTCCAACGGTGGTGTCGCCTCGCCCATATCGCGGAGCTGAGGGGTCTCGATCACTGGTGTCTCCAGCGCCACATATGTATACCTCGACTGCGGAACATTGACTACTGCCGTGATCTTCTCCTGCGGCTCATTTTTGTCGCCGCTGCCTTCCGCATCAAAGGCGCCAGTGATACGAACCGCGGATGGGGGTAGCGGCTTGCCGAGTCGAGTAGCCAAGGCACGAGAATGAGTCTCCCACATATCTCGGATGAAACTGATGCGTGAGTAGTTCCAACCAACATCTACCTTGCCCTCGAATGTGCTCTGGAAGATATACTCAATTTGCTGGGAGCCCGGGACCTGCCAGGTCTGCATGCGAGCCACAAGCCGAGGAACCTTAAGGATAGTCCCTCCCCTGGATCCCGTGACACGATTGGCGATCTCATTCACAAGTAGCTCTTCCGTATCCATAGGCCCGGACCGCACAATGTTTGAAAGCGCGACACGAAGCTGGCCCAGAGTTAGGCCTAATGCGCTGTGTATTTTGCCGTCCTGCAAGGAGACATCAAACCGTGCCTGCGCATCATGCGCCTCCAGCTTGAACACATGATTGTCGAAAAATGAGCTTGGAAAGACCCCTATGCTAACAGTGTTGATACTGACAACAACTCCAGTGTGCAAGGTGATTGGTGCCGTCTCGATCTTGTCTTCCTCCTGTTTGGAAATTTCCCTGGACGAGACCTCCGCCATCTCCGAAAAGATCGACGTCTTTCGGCGCAGGTACCGTTCCACATCTCGTAGAGAAGCTTCGTACGCTGCTTGCTTGTCTTGCACAAGTCGCTGCCACGCTTGGTATAATGCTAGCGACTGTGATGCAGTCAGGCTTGTGCAAAAGACCTGCACTTTGTCCCCATCCAGTATGCTAAAGAGACGCTCGCCAGGAGCGTCATCCGTCTGCCGAACATTATACATCAAGAATGCAAAGCTGGAGATGTGAGCTATCAAGAAAGGTTGATAGTCAAACGAAACCTTGACTTGTAGCTGAAGCCAAGATATAGATGCCTGAATGAGAGGCGTCTTGTTGACCTGCTGACTATTTGGCCAATTGATGGAAGTGGCTATTTTGAGACTCTGAAGCTCAACCAAACCGCTCATTCGGCCCTTGCTCTCGATCCCTAGTGTATTGAAGTTGATGCAGAGAGTCTGCTCCCAATCGGAGGTCTTCTTCGAGGACAGCCACAAGTCATTGATGGCGAATTGCGCCTTTCCTAGCGTAGACCCTAGGTCGAGTTGGATTTCCAGTTTCTCGATCGAGATTGTGGTGTTCCATGGGAAAGCAGGGGTTGCTGCGACCTGTTGATATCGCTGCACGATATATGCCTGCGTCTCCGTGGGCTGTGGCTCGGGAGGAGGGGCAGTGTCTACCTCGTCACTTGAAGGAACCCAAATTTCACGGAAGAGCAGAAGATCTTGAACCTGCTTCGCATTGAGGGCAACTTCCATCGGACTCACTCTCAGAACGACCGAGATCCCTTTCGACCTTCCAAGATGTTTGCTGTTCATAAGAGACATGACCATAGACTCAACCTCAAAGCTAGCGGTTGACTCATTTGAGTACACATGCTTCACGGATGCTTGCAATGAGTTGAAAGACACCAAGAGGGCTAGAAATCGCTCTTGATCATCTGACTGCACGGTATTGACTGTCACATATACACTGTCAAAGCGTGTCGTAGCTGCTACTCTCGCGATGGGTTGACAGCTTAAGCTGAACTCCTGTTTGCAAATCAAGATGCCTACATTAACCTTGCACCGACCAAGAATTGAACCTGGTCCTTTGTCATCAAGAGGGGTCTCCTGCATCAACTTCTGCGACTGCAGCATCATAGCATTGGACGGCCTCCTCGACTTTGGTTGGTCGCCCATGGCTTCCTTTATAGTAGAGGTCATCTGCTTGATCAGGGGAACGAGGCTCGGGTAGAGGACATTTGTAGAAGCGTCGACCTTCAACTCCGCGTTGAGAGCAGAGTCATCTCGCCCGTTGTCCTCGAATTGGACTTTTAGAGCTACTCCTGGAGCTCTGAACGTTGCAGTGGCTGTTCCATCTCCTTGTATGTAGTGCCCGTAAGTTGACCCAGGAAGCCTGCCGTCTTTCAAAGGTGGCGCTAGCATGGCCTGTGTATCATCTGTGTGTCGCCCTCGTAGGGACATAACGGCCCCGGCAAAGTCAACGTCAACCAGAACTGAGCGGAAGCGCTTATTTCCAAAGAGTGGGCGGTGTTTGGTGCTATCATCGGATGGCTTTGTCACTAAAGTGGCATTGGCCTCTCGGATAGTTCGTGCAGCAGAGGCAAGAGAGTTCCGGATCACGCTCGCTGGCAAGATAAAATCAGAAGTAGCGCGTATGTCAAGAGATTTCCCTGCAGCTTGGAAGGCTAGTCGAACCTCCTTTCCGGCTGAGGAGTATGCCACATTGAAAACCAGTTCTGGCAATAGAGCAGAATTAAGCGAGCGCTTCCGTCTATTACCAGAAACAGGCACCATCTGCAACTGGACGTCCTCAATTCGAAGCTTAGCGGCATTTGCTTTCTTGTTGGACAATTCCACACGTTTGATGGAGAACACCAGATCATCGGGTCTACGTCCAGATGCCATTGGTGGTACACCTGCCATGTTCCAGCCAATCTGAATATCGTTGAAGTCAAGGGAGTACATCGAGTCGAACAGGCCTTCGGAGGAAGCGCTATCCGTAACGTTGATGCTTGGAATTTCCTGTTCCTTGCCTTCCGTGTGGCCGCGATGTCGCAGTCGTTTGAATCGCTTTACCTCCTGAGAAAGGTCCAACGTTTTTATGCGTTCCTGCAAGTGGGCAGCCATATCCACCACCAATGCGGCGGTCTCTGGGAAAAGCTCGATATCGCACCCTTTGCTGGTTAAGTGGAATAATCGTCGAGTTTCCCCACTCTCTCTGGTCGTCGAGGTACCCTGAAGCTTGGCGTCGATTGCAAAAGTACAGTATGAGCGGCTGCGATGTGCGTCTTCCTTCCTCAAATCAAAGCTTATGTTCGATGTATCGATATGGAACTCCGGGTATTCCAAGGCATGTCCTGCCTTGAGGCCGTTGTCTAGGTGAAGGCGCACCATACCGAGGCTGATATCCATATCTGCGGTATAGCTCTTGCCATTCAGCCCTGGTGCCCTGGCATGAATAGTTGTTCCCGCCATTGTCATGCGTGCTTTGTACAAAATGCTGTGACTCTTAGACACGCTTTGCTGTGGAGGAGGTCTTTTCTGGGCAATGTTCTCATTAAAATGTAGCCGCAGGACTTCGAGACTTTGCTTCAGATCGTCAAGCAAATGCGAAATTTCTGGCTTGGATAGGGCACCAAGAAGGCTTCGCACAGCGCTGGCCTCTACTCTTATCAATTCAATAGTGACATCCACTTCCACATCAGTGCGTGTCGAGGAGACATCAGCAATGACTCGACCATTGATAGGAGGTATCTCCAATGTCGAAAGGGAACGCCACTTGCCGCCTTCGCTTGATAAAAGCGTATGTGCGTTCTTCTTCAAGTCAAAGTCTACTTCAATTTTCGATCCAAATTTCGGTGTGATTGAAGTTCGTGCTACTTCTCCAGCGATGACATATGTCAGCGATGGAAGCACACAAAAGCTCAGTCGGTAATCGTCCAGGAACATGGCAACGTGGAAATTATTGCGCACTCGCTTCTTCGGAGGAGTTTTGTCAAGTTGCGGCTCATGTGATGGCAATTCCACACTATTCACAAGCTGTTGTATGAAATGAATCTCGTCCTCTAT